ATATATATATATATATATATACACACACACATATATATATATAAAATTAAATAAAAAATGTATATATAAAAAAAAATAAATAGTAATAATAAAAATAAATGAATTAATAATAATAGATAAATAAATAGCAATAAAATAATTTTTTACAAAGATTTTAGAAACGCTGACACAGCATTAAAAGCTGAATGTTGTATTCCTGTATTCTTAACTTCTAAAACGCAAATAGTATTAAAACTATTCAGAAAAAGATACACTATCATTTAAAGGTTTGGGGTCGGTAATTTTAAATGTTTTGAAAGAAGTGCTCACCTAGGCTGTATTCATTTGATCGAAAATGCAGTAAAAACTAATATTGCGAAATAGTTTAGTATTCTAACATTTTAAAATGTAATTTATGCATGTGATGGAAAAGCTGAATTTTCATCATCCATTACTTCCGTTTTTAGTGTCACATGATCCCTCAGAAATCATTCTAATATATTGATTTGGTGTTCAAGAAACATTTCTTATAATTATCAATGTTGAAACAGTTGTGCTGATTAATATTATTGTGGAAATTGTGATACATTTTTTAAAGATTCTTTGATTAATAAAAAATTCAATAGAACAGCATTCATTTGAATTATAAATCTTTTATAACATTATAAATGTCTTTACTGCCACTTCTGAATTTAATGCATCCCTGCTGAATAAAAGTATTAATTAAAAAAAAAAAGAAAAAAAAAAGAAAGAAAACAATCTTACTGACCCCAAACTTTTCAACTATAGTCTTTGCAATATTATTATAATATTATGAAATGAATGGTGTCAATGATCGTCTTCAGGCAATTTCCAAGTCAGCAGTCTTCCACATTATTGTGGTTTCAAAGAACAAGAGATACCCGGGATTTATACTGTAGAGCTGGTCATTTAATGAAACGCAAATGTAAATATTTTAATATTTTAAGATACTGGATTTTTGACTTTCATGAGCTGTAAGCTCTAATCATCAAAATTAAAACAAAAAAACTATTGAAATGTTTTACTTTACATGTAATGCATGTAGAATATATGAAAGTTTAACTTTTTGAAATAAGTTACAAAAAAAAGAACTTTTTCATGATATTCTAATTTTTTGAGATGCACCTGTATATATATGAAGTGTTCAGATGCAAAAGCCTCTAAGTGCCGTATGAAATGAGCATTTTTATCAGGCTCCTATATTTATGTTCAGTTATTTCAATTTAATTGCATAGAAAATGACCTATACACTGCCATTCTATCGAGATATTTAATTTTAGTTCAGATAAAATAAAATAGCAATAAACAAATAAATACAAAACAATACAATAGAAATCACAGACATTCATATCCAGTAAGGATTCCATTTTTCTGAAGACCCCTGAATTAGCCGAAACCAGTGTTTTAAAAACAGAAAAGAAAATGTTTGTGGAACACGAATCTTTCCTGACCTCCTCAGAGAAAACAAGACTTTTAATTTTAAGCAACTTAGATACCAGACCAATAAATAAATAAATAAAAATGTCATGTTTCACTGTGGCATTTATGTGAAGCTTCTGAGGCACGCCAGTATCACAACTAGCCCCGAGTCGTTCCATTTGGACTTGTTTCCAGCCCAAAGAATGCTACTTTTTTTTGTAAACGTCAAGCTATTCAGATCTTCAAGTGGACACTGAGCTCCCACTGACAATAACCCTCCTTCATCCAGAAAGCAGCCATCTTGGACCAGATGGCTGCCTGCTTGCTGGCAACACAACATTCGTTTGTATAAGCGCAAATGGAAATCTGATCAACACAGCTACATGTGTTCCTTATTTCAACCCGATCCAGCCTTCTTCACTATAGAGAGATTAGCTGTGTGCTAAACATTACAAACCACAAACAGAAAGATGACCATTATCTGATCTGAACGTGTAGGAAAGAACAGAAGATCACACATCAGCTGATGTCTTACCATGGACCTGAAGAGATGCCAGTCTCCAAAGTTCATGTTCATTTCCTTCTTGAGCTCATCAAGGTTGCATTGAGACAGAACCCGGCCGTTCACGTTGGCCTACATTTAGGATGACAGAATTTGACATAAGAACATTATGGCATTCAACAGCTAACAAATTTGAGATCAATTTCATCTCGGCAGTATGTCAAAGGTTGAAAACAAAGTTCACAATTGAGATTGTGAAGTATGCAGGCAGATGCGGCACAGCTGGCAGGTTGACTAATGCATGTCTAATGAAGACATCAGAAATGTCATTGCTTCCTTCAGATGTTGTCCAATGGAAAGAAAGGCCTCATTGTGAAACCTCTGTATGCACCACATGGAGCTGATAAAACTGCTCTTTTCCAATGGATGAACATGTATTTACAGGGATGGACTCATTTACCACACCCCATGTCTCAGTCCTGTTTTTCACTTTTTGTGTAGAAATTGGTGTATTTCCATGAAAAAAATAGGTATAAGACTAAGAGAAGATACTTTCAGAAGATAAAATATTACATCAGCTGCTTTATTTTCTATTCACTTTATATATTGTTGGCAGCTCTGTTACCAAAATATGTTCAAACACAGTTCAAAACCCATTGTTTGGTTTTTATCTTCTAGCAATAAACAACTGTAAAACATAAGAATGAAACAGAAAACAGTAAAAAAAAAGAAAAGAAAAGAAAAGATAAAGAAATTAGAAATTACTTTGCTAGTTTGTGCCAAATTTTGATTTGTAGTTAGTTTGGCATCAACAAGATTTTTTTTATTTATTTTTTATTTTATTTTTTTAAGAAACTAATGCTTTTATTTTGCAAGGATGCTTTAAATTGATCAAACATGGCAGCAAACACTTTAACATTATTACAAAAAAAAAGTATTCTAAAAAAACGTATCACTGTTAATCACAAAAATATTAAGCAGCACATCCTTTGTCAGCATCGATAATAATAATGTATGTTGAGCGGCAAATCTGCATATTACACTGATCTGAAAGATCAATCAATTATTTTAAACTGTTTTATTTTTAATTATTAAAAATAAACTGTTTTAATTAATTATTTTTATTTTAAACTTTTAAACTGTAAACTTTACTATATTTTGATCAAATAAATGCAGACTACAACATTTTTTTTTACTTTTTTCTATACATTAAAGTAAAAAATATTTGTTATAATTTTCTTACAATCATTTAGGTAACAGCGCTGAAGGCTGAGCTTGACAAATACTACAATTTGTTGTAAACAATGAGAAAATGCAATTTGATTATTTACTTTTCTACCCATCATGATTAGCAGAGTCCAAATAATCTTATTTCCTTGGTATTATAATTTTAGTGTTATATTTAATTTTTTTATAATAAGGATAAAAAATACATTAACAAAGCTGACATAGATAAAATAAAATTTTTGCTAATTAAAATTTTTTGCTAGTTTAATTAGTAAAATTATTTCAATTAATAAATTAATAGTTACAAATTTGTGCTACTGTAGTGAATTGAATATCATTTCAACAGATTGTTAAAATTGTATTATGATTATATTATGATTTAATTCCTAATTTAGGGGGGAGGGGATATAGAGATCAGATATGCTTAAAATTAGCTACTTACAGTTGAGGTCAAACGTTTACATCCCCTTTCAGAATCTGCAAAAATGTTAATTATTTTACCAAAATAAGAGGGATCATATAAAATGCATGTTATTGTTTATTTAGTACTGACCTGAATAAGATATTTCACATACATTTTTTTTACATATAGTCCACAAGAGAAAATAATAGATGAATTAATAAAAATGTCCCCGTTCAAAAGTTTATCCCCATTTAAAAGTACATCCCCTTGATTCTTAATTCTGTGTTGTTACCTGAATGATCCACAGCTGTGTGTTTGTTTGTTTGTTTTTTGTTTAGTTATAGTTGTTCACGAGTCCCTTGCTTGTCCTGAACAGTAAAACTGCCTGCTGTTCTTCAGAAAAATCCTTCAGATCCCACAAATTCTTTGGTTTTCCAGCATTTTTGTGTATTTGAACCCTTTCCAACAATGACTGCATGATTTTGAGATCCATCTTTTCACACTGAGGACAACTGAGGGACTCATACACAACTATTACAGAAGGTTCAAACGTTCACTGATGCTCAAGAAGGAAAAACCATGCATTAAGAGCCTTAGATACCTTAGAAAAAAGTTTTACCTTAGAAAAAAGTTTTACCTTAGAAAACTTTTGAACAGAATGGAGATGTGCACATTTTTCTTATTTTGCCTAAATATCTTTTTTTTTTTCATTTAGTACTGCCCTTAAGAGGCTACAGAAGATAGTTACATCATGTTTCCTAGAAGACAAAATAAGTTAAATTTACCCTGATCTTCAAATTAAAAAAGTTTTCACCCCCCGGACTTAATGCATGGTTTTTCCTTCTGGAACAAACAAGGGACTCATGAACAACTATCACTAAACAAAAAAACAACTGTGGATCATTCAGGTAACAGCACAGTATTAAGAATCAATTTTTGAACGGGGTCATTTTTATAAATTCAACTATTATTTTCTCTTGTGGACTATATGTAAACATCTTTTATGTGAAATATCTTATTCAGGTCAGTACTAAAGAAACAATAACATTCATTTTGTATGAACCCTCTTATGTTGGTAAAATAATTAACATTTTGCAGATTCTGAAAGGGGATGTAAACTTTTGACCTCAACTGTATTAGCTACTTCATATGTTATATTTGTTAGATAATACTTTTTCAAACATATTTCACAGTTGTCATAAAAACCCATTAGATTTGCACCTTAAATGCTTTAAAGAAGCAATAGGACAACAAAGTGTACTGTGAAAGCGAACAGTAAAATCACATGCCAAACCTTTAAATGGACTGCATGCTTTTCAATGGAACTTCCAGGACACTTCTCCAGAACATACCTTTTTGATTGTGCCGATATACTGCTCCAGCATGCTGGAGTCGAGGCCCTGGATCTGTCTGAGCTTCTCACATACGCCATCGATGCTCAGAGAACTGAGGAGGACCTGAGATCCACTAGAAACCACAGAACCAGAGCCCTACACACACATACAGTAACTAGTTACTCATTCCATCAGTTCATAATGCATTCTGGAATAGCAAGGCATGAGGCACTGTCAAAGCCATGTGAGGCAAAAGCAGTACAACTCAAGAAAAAGCAAGGCAGTAATTCAATGTCATTACAGAATAAGGAACTCTGAGCAGTTATGGGTGAAGGAACAATACGTGATACATGATGGAAATTTCTGTCTGTTGAAGTCATGTATGGGAGCTATCATTACAAGATTTGCGGAGAGTAAAATGCATGTTTAATGTAAAATGCTAATGTGTAGGTGTCAAGTGTAGACAGCCACAAGATCTTTAAATTGGTCTGGATTGTCAGTGGTGACCCAGTTTGTTTTGCTGTAATGGTTGATCTTTGTCATGTGCACTGATCTCATTAGACCCTTCTAGTATGACGTACACTCTTAAAAATAAAAGCTTCCAAAAGTTGGGTTTTGCAGTAATTCCACAGAAGAGCCATTGTGGTTCCCCAAAGAACCTTTCAGTAAACAGTTCTTAAAGGATCCATTTTTAGAACATTTTAATACTCTAAAGAACCTTTTTCCACTGTAAAGAACCTTTTGTGGAATGAAAAGGTTCCATGGATGGTAAAGGTTCTTTGTGGAACTATTGATGCCAATAAAGAACCTTTATTTTTAAGAGTGTTCCACAACAAGTTATTTATAGTGGAAAGAATCTTTTTCTTTCTTTCTTTCTTTCTTTCTTTTTCTTCACCTTAATGTTCTATTAAGAACAGTTCACTGAATGGTTCTTTGTGGAACACAAAATGGTTCTTCTATGACATCGCTGCGAAAACCACTTTTTGGAACCTTTATTTTGGTTCTTTATGGAATCATAGATGCCATTATTATTATATTTATTGTGCTCAGCCCACTTAATTAATACTATAATGTAATGCAACAATCCTATATTAATAAGATAATTGGAAATTAGTTACATTATATTAGTTTACTTCTCGTGAAGTTGCTCACTTTAATCATTTGAAGCCATAGTTCATTTAATAAATGACTCAGCATTAACATTATATACAAGCATGTTGGTAACACTTTATTTTAAGGACTAATTCTCACTATTAACTAGTTGCTTATTAGCATGCATATTACTAGCATATTGGCTGTTAATCTCTTTTTCTGCATGACCATATTTTAGATCCCTTATCCTACCCCATACCTAAACTTAACAACTTTACCAACAGTTATCGTTTATCGAGGCAAAATCGCAGTTAACAGTTAATATTGAGAATTGGTCTCCAAAATTAAGTGTGACCGGTGTGTTCTTCATATGATGATGACTGGGCCTTTTATCTATATCTAGGTCAGTCTGCTTGGGAAACAACTACTGTGATGAGCAGTCAAAAAATATAAAATATGTCCATGATTCTTTGTTCAAAAATGTGTGGTGTGGATTCTCAGCCAAGCTTGACACCAGTTGTGTTCACCTAAAATATTTGTAAGTCCTATTCATCAGCAGCAGGCATGTTTAATAAGAAAAAATACAAGAAATAAAAGTAAATTAGTGCCTTGAGAGCGAATTGGATGAAACTGCAGAAAACTGTAAAAGAATCAGCCAACCAGGAGACTATAGTCACGACTAATATTCCCCAGTTCTCTAAAAACTCATTTGCATTCAGATTCAAACAAGAGGGCGTCAAAATTAAACTTGAAACACTGGTCTGAATATATATAATGGAGAATAAAGTTGACTAATTTTTGTTTAACAACAGCTTAAATTTCAATCTGTTCCTCACATTAAATTATCATATGGCTTCAGAGGACTTAAAATATAGTGCACAGGTTGCAGGGAAGTTGTTATTGTCCTTTCTGGAGCTGGACAGCCTGTGATGTTCAGTTGTACACGTACTTTTGGCCACAGTGTATCTGAACAGAAATTTCACAATGACAGAACTGGCTGTTCATTTTGTTCTGGTTTTAAATGAAACAAGCCAAAATGAGCAGAAGCCCTGAAAATGACACAGTTAATATGAGAAAATTGAAGGGTTTAAATGTTTGTACCTGCTTCATTCTGAAGGGCAGCGATTTTATCTGGGATCGAGAAAAGGAGAGAGGACGAGAGGAAAGGAGGGATTAGGTCACATGCTTCAATCTGCAATCAATCAAATGTACACACAATAACATTATTTATGACAGATGCTTGTCTCATAGCATCCAACCTGCATGGATTTCACAGTAATGATTTTAACAAGCCAATCGAACAGAGAACTTCAGATGCGGTGAATCAAAAGAACAACATTTTGGAGAAAGGATGGACTAGCAAGGAGTTTCGAACAGAAAAGACATATAAAAGGAGAATAGGAGAAACTGAGAGGACTGTTCACGACTCCATGCCGAGAAGTTGTTTAATTCCAAAACGGCCCCACCCTGATGGGTGAGTGTTCGAGCCGGGCGATAAGAGTGTAATTAGCGTGAGGGGCCGGGGAGGAGGAAACAGACGTGTTCGCTGAATGAAGCAGCTCGCTGTGCTGATAAGAGCGGCCTCATTCAGCGCGCCGTCCCAGCATTGCTGATGCTAATCCAGCCAGCCTCAGATAGCAGCAGCCTTTCACACCACGCAGAACAAAGCAGCGATGGGGGGACAGACCAGAGAGCGGATCAAATGACTGAGGCATGAAAGAGCAAAACAACAGGGCTGAAGGAAGGAGGGCAGAATATGAGGAGAGAAACTTGACTCAAGCAATGACAATGGGGAAGAAGGACAGAGGTGCAGGAAAGGAGAATATGCTGGAAGATCTGAGAGATGTGTAAATAGATGGTTTTAGGGATGATAAGTCAGTGAGCATCAGTAATGGTCTAATCTGAGATAATTATGATTTCAATTTCAGTATCAGATATTTGGCCATTTTAGAGATTAGTGGCGTCAGAAGATAGCTGTGGCCAGTTTGGCAACAGAAGCATCATCCCAACAGCCCACAGACAATGGATATTGCACATTTTCCATTTTGTATGGAAGTTTATATTGAATTAAATTGATATATTGTTTAAAATAAATGTTCATTTGATTCAGAAATTTAGTTTGGAGTTATTAAAATTACACTATTGTTCAAAAGTTGGGGTGGTAAGATTTTTTAATGTTTTTGAATGAAAGAAGTCACTTATGCTATAAATGGCTGTATTTATTTGATCAGAAATGCAGTAAAAAAAAGAAATATTGTGAAATATTATTACAATTTAAAATCGCCCCTTTCAGTTTTAATGCATTTAAAATGTAGTTTATTCCTGTGATAGCAAAGCTGAAATTTCAGCAGCCGTTACTCCAGTCTTCAGTG